GTATTGGGGGGGGGTGGTAGTATTCTTTTTAACCTATTTATTCTTTGGGAATTTCACAAATATATTCAATGTATTTTGATCTCCACCCTATCTAACTCTTCCTGAATCCCCCCACTATGTCCCTCTCCCAATTTCATGTTTCTCTCTCTCTCTCTCTCTCTCTCTCTCTCTCTCTTTCTCTTTTTGGTCTTTTTGAGACAGGGTCTCCCTATAGCCCCAGCCGGCCTGGAACTCACTGTGTAGACCAGGCAGGCCTTGAACTCACAGAGATCCGCGTGCCTCTGCCTCCCAAGTGCTGGGACTACAGGCGTGTGCCACCATGCCTGGCGAGATCTTTTTAAAATTATGTGTATGTATGTCTGTGTGTGTGCATGTGAGTGTGGGTGCCCACAGAGGCCAGAGGCATTGGAACCTGAAGTCAGAGTTACAAGCATTTGTGAGCCAACCAGTATGGGTTCTGGGAATTGATCGCAGGTCCTCTGGAAAAGTAATAAGTGCTCCTCACTGCCGAGCCATCTCTCCAGCCGCTGAGTCGGCTTTCCTAACCGTACATGCTGTTTTGGTGACTGACTCTGTGTGTCTTGAGATCAGGTGTTAGGTGTTCCACTGTACTCCAGGTTGCTGCTATTTGGGGTCTTTGTGCCACCATGTGAGTTTTAGAGTTGCCTCTTCAGCTCTGGTTCGGAATGCCGTGGTGGCCTGGTGGGAATTGCATTGAGTCTGTAGAGTGCTTTGGACAGTGTGGATGTTGTAGCAATGTTAATTCAAGTCTGTGAGCCTGGGCTATCCTTCATGCTCCTCAGTGTTTCCTAGTTTTCATTTTAGAAGTATTTCACTTCCTTGGCTAGTTCCTTAACTAGTTTATTTCTGTTATGAATAGGTTTCCATGGGTTTTTTCCTGATTTTTTGGTGTTGATCATGAATTCATCTATCAGTTCTCTTTCTCTGGAATCCAGGTTTTTCTGTGTCTTTGCAGACCAGGACCAGCTGAGCTCCTTCTGTTGCTGGCTTTCTGTTTCTCTGGCCCAGTGTCTGTCTAAACCTTCCAGTGTTGTGGAGAAAGGGCTTGGTGCTCCACACAGAAGCCAGTGCTGTGGTGCTGGATTTTGGGGTTTTTTTTCCTGGCAAAAATGCCAAGATACAAGTTCAGATGACCCCCCACCCCCACCCCCCAGCCAGTTGTGGGCCTGGGCCACGGAATTGCCTGGGCCACGGATTTCGTGGGAGGGAAAGGAGACAGGTTGCTTGGGTGATGGAAGTAGTTCAGTTCTGCACCAGGGGTTTGAGCTTGCGATGCCAGCGGCCTGCCGGTGTCCACCTGGAAAGTTTGGCTCCAGCTGCAGTCCTGTCCTCGTTGCTGGGACAAATACCCGACCCAGCAGCAGGGAAGAGGGTTTATTTGGGCTCGTGGCTTGAGGACACAACCTGCAGGCGTGGACAGCGTGGAGGAGCGCGAGGCAGGGCTCATGCTGTGCCCACGGTCAGGACGCAGCACCGGATGCATGCTGTCATTTCCCGGCTTTGGCCCAGAAGACAGTTTCCTAGGGGTTCTGAATCTAGTCAGATTGACATGATGATGAACCACAGTGGGCTGGGGAGATGGCGCCGTGGTTTAAGCGCGGCGTGCTGCGCAAGCTGTTCAGGCTGCGCTAGGACCGCAGAATTTACCTAAAAAGTCAGATGCAGGTGGGCGTGGTGGCGCAGAGGTAGGCGGCTACAGGTGCATGCGACCGTGCCTGGCTTTTTTAATGTGGATTCTGGGGATTTGAATTCAAGTCCTCACGCTTGCCCGGCAAGCACTCCTGACTGCTGAGCCATCGCTCCATCCCATCTTGTCAGGTTTTGATAGCGTGGTAGTGTTTGTATTATAGAATGAGCTGGGTTTCTTTTCATGTCTCTGGGACAGTTTGAAAATTGGCTTTAGGTCTGGTAAGGTCTGGTAAGATTCAGCCATTGAACTTTTACTGTTTGTGACTCATGATTTACTATCGGCCTATTCAGGTTTTTCATACTCCATTCAATTTTGGTACATATGTGGCCAGAAATCTGCCCTTTTTTTTCCCCAATATTTTCCAGCTTGTTAGCATGTAATTTTTCTAAATAATTCCTGATGATTCTTTGTATTTCTAGGATACCTGTTCTAAATGACGCCCTTTTCATCTGATATATTTGGGTCTTTTCTCTCCCTTTTTCATCTAGGAAAGACTCGTTTTGGTTAACTTGTGTTTTTCGTTGCTCTTCTGTGTTTTTCTTTTTGTTTTGTTTTTGGTCTGTTTTGAGATCCCCAGCTGGCCTAGAACTTGCTATGTAGACCAGGCTGGCCTGGAACTCAGAGATTCACCCGCCTCAGCCTCCCAGGTGCTGGGATTAAAGGTCTGCGCCACCGTGCCCAGCTTCTGTGCGTTTCCAAGTCTGTTTTGACGGCTTCGGCCTCTGCTCTTCAGTGCTTGTCTCCCATTTTTGGATTGGTTTGTTCTTTTCTAAATCCTCAAGGTGCATCTTTGGGTGATTGGAAATGCTTTTTTTCTTTTCTTTTTTTGATGCAGGTGTGCTGTGTTTTCATTGTCATTGTGTGAAGAAAATTTGAGTTTCCCTGTGCCTCTCCTCAGTGACCCAGTTTGTTCAAAAGTCTAGTGTTTGGTCGTGTGTGTATAGAACTTGCAGAATGTCTTGTTGTTGACATTTGTTTCCTTTGTGATCAGAAGAGATATGACATTACATTATTTCAATTTTTACCATTTGTTAAAACTTTTTTTTTGGGGGGGGTGTCTTTCTGAGACCTGGAACTCGCTATGTAGACCAGGCTGGCCTCAACTCACAGAGATCTGCCCACCTCTGCCTCCCATGTGCTGGGATTAAAGGTGTGCACTACCACACCTAGCTTTGTTAAAACTTGTTTTGTGGCCAAATCTGTGGGGGGGGTGTCTTTCTGAGACCTGGAACTCGCTATGTAGACCAGGCTGGCCTCAACTCACAGAGATCTGCCCACCTCTGCCTCCCATGTGCTGGGATTAAAGGTGTGCACTACCACACCTAGCTTTGTTAAAACTTGTTTTGTGGCCAAATCTGTGTCATTCTATGACTAGATGAAAAATGCATATTCTTTACTGTCGCCTACAGTGTAAAGTGTTTCTGTAGTGTAGTCGGACTCTGAGGTCCTTGAGTCTTCTCTGGCTGATCTGTCCTCTGAACATGGTGTTGAGGCACACCACTGCTCTAGGTCCTCTTCCCTTTGCGTCTGGAAGGGTCTTACAACACTGAGTGCTTGGACACTGGGTGGGAATAGCCTGAGTCACTGGATCTTCTTGGTCTTTGTACAGTAACCTTCTTTTTCTTATCTTAAAGCGGATTTGTCAGATGTGAGTATAGCCGCTCCTTAGTGGCCTGTGCCTTTAGGCTTCTGTTTGCTTGGAGTATAGCTCCCGCTCTGTCACTTTGGGTCAGTTTCCTTTAGGCAGCGTATTATCGCATCCTACTGCTTTCTCCCGTCCCGCCAGGCTGTAGCTTCTAATTGAGAACTTTATGTTCATCATTGTTGCTAATAGGTTATGGGTGTTCCCATCATTTTGTCGATTTTCTTGGGTGGTTTTCAGTATTTGTTCTTCAGGCTTTGTTCACAGTCTGATGGCGTACTGATACCCGTTGGTCTTTCTTTTTTGTGTGTCTGCTCCTTCATTAGGATTCCTACTCTTCACTTGTTTTCATAATGGTATTTATACTTCTGAGCGTGGTTCCCTGTGATGCTTAATTGTCAACCTGAGTGGCTCTGAGAAGTACGGAGGTTAGTGAAGCTGGTGTGTCTGTGAGGGTGTTTCTGAAGAGGATTACGTGGGGAAGACCCATTCTGAACGTGAGGGGCACCATTCAGTAGGCAGGGGCCAGACGGAATGAAGGACCAACCAGGCGGAGGAAGCACATGAACATAGGCATTTCCCTCCCCCCTCTCTCCTTCCCTCCCTAGAGATGAGTCATTCTGCCATGCTTTTTTTTTTTTTTTTTTTTTTTTTAAGCTAGGGTCTCACTATGTAGATCAGGCTGGAACCTGACCTTGAACTCACAGATCTGCCTGCCCCTGCCTCTGCCTCTGCCCCTCTGCCCTCCCCCTGCCTCTCCGGTGCTGGGGCTAAATGTGCCTCACCAGCACCATGCTTTCTGTGCTGTAGCTGACGGCAAACCATGAGCCAAAATGAACCCTTCCCCTTTAAGTTGTTCTGCTCAGGTATTTTGTGCCAGTGATGACCATGTGACCAACAGAGACTGCCTGAAACTTCTTCTGTAAGACTGGTCTGGTGGTCATGAATTCCCTCAATTTTTGTGTCTTGGAAGGTCTTTATTTCTCCTACCTCGCTGGAGAATCGAGAGCCTTGCTGGGCAAAGTGTCTGTGGTTGGTAGTTACTTTCTCTTAGGACTTGGAAGACATCACTCCCTTTCCTCCTGGCCTGTAGTTTCTGCTGAGGAGTCTGGTGGTCTAGTTGGAGATGCATGTAATAAACTTTGTCTTGTACTTTGGGCAATTTAGTATAGTATGCCATGGTCTAGATGTTTTCTAGTCATGTCTGATGGCATTAAACCTCATGTACATCAATGTCCACATCCTTCCCAAAATTAGGACATTTTCTCTATTTCATTGACTGTTTTTGTGACCTTAACTTTTTTCACCTTGCCTTCAGAGTATCCCCAAAATATTGATGTTTGTTTGCTTAAAAGTAAAGGTCTTACCCGGGTGTGGTGGCACTCACTTTTAATCCCAGCACGGGGCGGGGGGGAGCAGAGGCAAGCAGAGGTCGCTGTGAGTTTGAGGCCAGTCTGGTCCATATAGTGAGTTCCAGGGCAGCTGGGCTACGTAGTAAAACCACGCCTTAAACAAAAGGGGGAAGATCTTAAATACTCTTTTTTTCCCCTATTTCAGATACTTAATCTTCTATTTGATCTGGTCTGTTAAGGTTTTCCATTCTCTCTCTCTCTCTCTCTCTCTCTCTCTCTCTCTCTCCCTCTCTCTCTCCCTCTCTCTCTCCCTCAAGAGAGAGAGAGGGAGAGAGAGAGAGAACTTTTGTCTTTTTGAGACAGAATCTCCCTGTAGCTCCAGCTAGCCTGGAAATTACTATGTATACCAGGCTGGCCTCCAACTCAGAGATCCACCTATCTCTGCATTACCATGCCCAGCTGTTTTCCCCTATATATATATTTTTAATCTTTATTTTATGTGTATGAGTGTATTGCCTACATGTGAGTGCACCCGTGTCATGCAATGCCTCTGAGGTCAGAAGAGGGCTTCGATTCCCCTGGAACTGGAGTTAAGGATGGTTCGTAGCTGCCATGGGGGTGCTGGGAATCGAACCCGGGTCCTCTGCAAGAACAGTTAGTGCTCTCAATCATTGAGCCATCTCTCCAGCCCCTCCACTATATTTTAAATTTTTAATTACTGAGTTTTTATTTTTAAGATTCCTCTTTGGTTCTTTTTCAAAATCCCTATAGTGTTGGTACATTTCTTTTGTGTGTGTGTGCACACGTGTGTTTCTGTGTGTATGTGTAACTATACAGGCGTGTGTGGAGATGAGAGGACAGTGGTTGGGGCCATTCCTGCCCTCTCTGATGACTGTTCTTAGTAGCTTTGCTGGGCTGCCAGCTTTGATTCCAGCAGGGCGGTGGGGTGCAGGGTCCTGGGGCTTTTGGCAGCGGTTAGTGAGGCAGGACATGCAGAGGAGAGCAGACAGTGGCGAAGGTTTGATGGAGAAGGTCACAGTCTGAGCCTGTGGCACCACGAGAGAGCTGAGGAAAAATACTCTTCATTCATTCGTTTTCTGAACTGCAAAAGCAGGTACATAACTCCCAGGTTAGGAGTAAGGGTTGATTTAAGAGTTTAGGGCTCTGCTTCTACGTTCTCTGAGACCCTGGGTGCTTAAATCTCCTAAACCTCACTGTTTTCTCATGGAAAGTAAAGAACTATTTCATGTCAAGGGAGTTTCAGGGACTATTGCAGAATGCTTCACATACAGCTTATTCAGTGGTCTAATTACTGAAGAAATGGAAGGTGCCGTCTCCTTCTGTCCCCCCAGACCCTTAACAGTGACACTGGCAAGAGTGGACACCACAAAATTATAGCCTCTTGAGAGTAAGAAGCTAGAAAAAATATGCTGAAAATAAAAAGGAGGTGTAGAAACAGCATCGTGCTGTAGGCATGTGACGTTTCCGTCTGCTCAATGAAGAGATAGACTCGATCTTGATTATCACCGTGGTATAGCATGCCGTGTGTGCATATGCACAGGCCATGGCATGGGTGTGGAACTCAGAGGACGGCTTCCGGAAGTCAGTTCTCTCCTTCCCATGTGGGTTCTGGGGATCGATCTCAGGCTGTTAGGCTTGGTGGCAAGTGCCTTTATCTGCTGAGCCATCTTGCCAGCCCCACATCGCATTCACTTGTCTTTTCATCTTTGGTAATTTTTGATTGGTCAATGATGTATTCGGTTTTCTAGATTAACAGAACCAATATAATGTGTCTATATTATTGAAGAGAATTGATTAGAATGGCTTATGTGACGGGGGTAGGTAGTCCAGCAGGGGCCATCTGTGTGCTGGAGAGGCAGAGGACCCGATGGCAGCTCAGTTCACAGAGCTGATGCCTAAGCAGTCTCAACAGGTCCAGTCTGGCAGTAGGGGCTTAGAAACTTCCTGTAGAGCAGGTGGTATTCAGTTCACGTCAAAAGACCTGAAAAGCAGAGTCTAATGCCAATGGAGGTTGGAGGCAGATGCACTCGCTCAGGAAGCAGAAACCAAGGCCGACTTCCTACTTTTCCTTGGGCCTCCGTGTGTCTGGGCTGCCCATTGGAAGATGCTGCCCACTTGGATGCCAGGTCTCCCCATACCCCCAATTAATCCCCTTTGAAATGCCCTTGTAGACACCAAAGTTGTGTCTCTTAGGTAGATTTTTGGGCGGGGCAGGGGGGCCTTTGAGACAGGGTCTCCCTGTAGCCCCAGCTGGCTTTATCTCGATCTCATAATCTCTATGAGATTATGCCTTAATTCTGCCAGTTGACACAATGGTACTGTGTGGAGGTTCTAGGTTCTGTTACAATCTTCTGAGGCATATTTTTTTCACATCAGCAGGTAGTTAGCCTGGCCATTTTGAAGCTTAAAACTCCTGACTTCCCTTCATCACAGCTGATATCTCCCCATCCCTTGGGATCTCCAGCCCTGACTTGAGCATATTAATATTTTGCAGAATTTAGGCTCACTTTCCTTTAAGATTTCTCTTTAATTTTTTTTGGGGGGGGACTTTTTGAAACAGGGTCTCCCCTGTTGCCCCAGCTGGCCTGGAACTCACTATGTAGACTAGTGGGACGGGAGGTATGTGGTGGGTTTCCAGGTGCCCTTTGTTATGAGAGGAGCCTGGCTGCCTCCCTAAGGCAGGTGAGAGCCCCAGGGTTGTGGACCCTCGGCAGCTGCTCCAGTCACTCTCTGGCACCCTGTCATCAGGCCTGGACAGCGAGTCTGCCTCTAGCAGCATCCGCTTCAGCAAGGCCTGCCTGAAGAACGTCTTCTCTGTCCTGCTCATCTTCATCTACCTGCTGCTCATGGCCGTGGCCGTCTTCCTGGTCTACCAGACCATCACGGACTTCCGAGAGAAGCTCAAGCACCCTGTCATGTCCGTGTCCTACAAGGAAGTGGACCGCTATGATGCTCCAGGTAGGGCCTGCTGGGCCAGGCAACAGCAGCCATGCTCTGGGGTGTCAGCAGCCGTCAAGCTTCCCCAAGCCAGTGTGGTCCCCCACACAGGGCTGGGTTCTGCAGGCAGGGAGGAGCCGACCAGCAGGAGACTTACTGTAGCCATGCATCCAAGAGCAAGCGCCAGGCCCTGGAGCACTGCGTAGGCAGAGAGGTGTTGGAGCTGGGCTTTGCCAAGCATGAGGGGGACAGTGAGTGCTTGTGGGGAGCAGAAATAGGAGGCCAAGGGGCCATGGGAGTCAGAGCTGGACAGGGGGCTTAGGAGTGGCTCTCAGGCCACACTGTGTGCCATTCCTTACACTGGAGTGTCTGGTCCCTAAGTACTGTCACCTGTGCCACAGTGGCCATCCACTGGAGCCATGATCTGGCACTGGAGAAAGTGTGTGCTTGGTGGCCTCAGGCCCTGCCCAGCAAGAACATGCCCCTGCTCTGTGCCTGAGTGACACTCAGAGCATCCTGTTCACAGGCCAAGGTCAGAGTTGGGACTCCCTCTGCCTGGGGCTCCCTGACAGTCCCCGTGCAGTCAGGCCTGCTGGTCACTGGCCTGTCCTTGCTGTGTTTGCTTCAGGCTGTCTTGTAGTGTCTGATCTCCTCCCTGAGCTCAGCCTTCAGGGCTGTGGGCTGTTCTTAGTGTTTCCGCTCTTGAGTTCAGGGTCAGAATTATGGGCTGGGAGTATACAGGACTCTCTCCACATGATGCGTGAACTTGGAGCTCTTGGACAAAGGAGACAAAATGAGTTCTAGGGAACCCCACAGCCCAGAGTGCCTACAGCACCAGGTGGGCTGGGCCTGGGAGGCCCCGCTGGGCTGTGAGGGAGGCCGCATTCCAGGCAAGGCCCTCCACTGGACCAGGTGGTCCCGTGCCTCCCCCACTCTTCCCTTCTCCTTTCTTGGCACTCAGGGACTCTGGGTGATTATTAGGTATGAGAAGACATCTGGTATGGCGGGGACAGTGACTTCTGACACTTGCCTTTTTCTTTTTGACCTAGGAATTGCCCTCTATCCTGGTCAGGCCCAGCTGCTCAGCTGTAAGCACCACTACGAGGTCATTCCACCTCTGACCAGCCCTGGCCAGCCGGGAGACAGGAACTGCACAACCCAGAGGATCAGCTACACTCACCCCTTTTCTAGTCACACTGTGGTAATGCCCTTGGCACGGGCCCTCAGTCCCTAGCTGATGAGAGGCTGTGTCTGATGAATATCCACTGGGGTTGTTGACCCTGCCATGGGACAGGAGGGTGGCTGAAGGTGGGACTAATGTTAGGTATTAAAGCAGATTGCTGCCTGCCTGCTTGATGGTGTCACTGAGATAACTCAAATATCAAGTCCAAGGAATCACTATTCCTGAGGATGGGAACTGGGGAGCCACATTTGAGACTTGACAGTGTGGTACAGTGTACTGGTCTTGGGGTCAGTGTCAGTACAGCGTACTGGTCTTGGGGTCAGTGTGGTACAGCGTACTGGTCTTGGGGTCAGTATGGTACGGCGTACTGGTCTTGGGGTCAGTGTGGTACGGCGTACTGGTCTTGGGGTCAGTGTGGTACAGTGTACTGGTCTTGGGGTCAGTGTCAGTACAGCGTACTGGTCTTGGGGTCAGTGTGGTACAGCGTACTGGTCTTGGGGTCAGTATGGTACGGCGTACTGGTCTTGGGGTCAGTGTGGTACGGCGTACTGGTCTTGGGGTCAGTGTGGTACGGCGTACTGGTCTTA